TCCCCAAACAAAGCAACAAAAAATATTTCACACTCTCTCAGGCAGTACAAAACCTTCAAGTTCAGAACCATCAGAACCAACAGAACATTCAGGCTATACCATTTACTGTGTTAGCCTAGGAAAATTACTGGTCCTCTCTTAGCCTCAGTTTTTCATCTCTAAAATGAAGATAAAAGTACCTTCCTCGTCAGGTTACTGATTAAAAAGTGTGCATAAAGTCCCTGGCACTATAAGGAAACTCAGTATTTAATACGTTACATCCTTTCCCATTCCCGCTTAGTGATGTGCCTTTTATAGAGTTTCCAGTTCAAGATCATCTCAAGAGGGTGATTAAGAATTGCCTCCGATGTGTTTGTTGCCAGCGTTTTCTAATAATTACCATAGCTACCATCTTCTTTAAAAATTCCCATGTGTGATAGTGCTTTAGACACGTTACTTATTTAGTCCTCCCAATAACCATATTGTACAAGGCAGGAACCACCACTCTTCAGATGATAAAACTGAAGCTTGGTGAGATGGCCATGGCCGACAGCCACACAACCACTAACAGAAGGGCATCCAGGCAGCCTGGCTTCAGAGCCCAAGCACGTCATGACTACACTCTGGTCCTTTGTCCTCAGGTCCCACCTCCCTATTAATATACACCACACACAATACCAAAGACATGTGAATGAAGGGCCCACACCCTTTAAAAATGATTCTCATGTCACTACATGCTCAGACTGAGCTTTCCTGGCACGGCTGCCTGTGAAACTTCCCTGGGAGACCTGCCCACACAGCTCTCTAATTAATCTACTCTCACAAAAACCATAGCACTGATTTTGATCTACAAGTTACGAAAAGTATGTTCAGGAGCTTTGTCCACCAGAAAGCCATCCGAACCGAATTGGATGATTTTCCAAAAAGCTTTTCAGCTAATATCTCAAATTTTAAAATACTAACTTCACATTCTTACTGGATTAAGATGGAAAATAAAATATCCCACAGTCAATGGAGACAGAAAAAAAGACAATAAAGGACAAAGAAGAAGGTTTAATTCTTAAAGAACTGAATGTAAACACCCATTAATGCTCCAAGATTTTAGGGCAAGAAGAAAAAGCCAGTTATTAAAGGACAGAGGCACAGTCTCAGAGTCCATCTCTCCCAAATCCTTCAGCGAGAAGATGGAAGTAGACTTGGCACCATAAATATATCATCAGTGCCTCCAGGCCAGGAGATGCCCTGCTGAGGACCCCAGTCTGCAGTCGAGATTTTGTTTAGGTATTTTTCTTAAATCAGGTTTCTGTGAAACCAGCCACAATGAATTCATTAGTGGAGGAAAAGGGTATATTCTTTATCAAAATCTGAAGTAAATCTCATTCAGGAAAAACACTGAAAGTTTACAAATAGTATTTCAAATTGTAAAAAGAGAACAGGAAATAAAGCAGAAATTATAGTTTCAAGGACATTATAAATAATTCAATTATTCCATACATCTTAACAGATGAGAAGATAATTCTCATTTATGACCTGTGAGTTCAGATGTTCTCAACTTTGTTTTCTTGCTTTGGCATGGAACTCCAGGGCAACATCACAGTAAAGGAAGAGGTAAAAGCCAAGAAGGTAAGAAATAAGGGGACAGACTCACTCTCCAACCAGTAGACTGTCTGTCTTGACTTCAAATGCCAATAGCTGCTCCACCTTCTCTCCTCTGGTAATTACTACCTGTTGAATTTTACCATGTTTTGTCTATTATATTTGTGTAACTATTTTACACAACAAAAGATTATGAACCTAGTTCTATTCATCGCAGAGATGATGATGGTGATGATGGTGGTGGTGATGATGAAATGGTGTGGTGATAATGGTGCTGGTGACGATGGTGGTGGTGATGCTGGTGATAGTTCTGATAATGACAAGTACACTTCAATGTCTCAATCTCACCACTGAAGAGGCATTAATATACCTTTAAAGAATTCCTCAAAGTTCACTAGAAACACTTTCTAAAAGGTTACTGTTCACAAAAAAATAAATAAATAAAAGTAATCAATCCCCAATAAATACAGAATTAATATATTTTTAAAAAATGAATAAGCTAGCTGTAATGTAATCCATGCTGCTGGGCTCAAGGATGAAAATGTAAACAAAATTTTCCCCATATCTGTCAAACAAATGACCTCTTCCTTGAGGACAAGCCATACTTTTCTGCCTTTATTAAGATATTCTGCAACTCAAATCCTTTAGCTGTCACTATTTCTGACACAAACTAAGCTAGAAATGCAATATGGTTATGGTAAAACACTGCCCTGCCCCAGGAATTTCTAAGAAGAACAGCCACTCGGAAACTCCGCCTCCTTACCCAGTTCTGCTAGAAGATGAATCTTTATTAAAATCAGTCTTTTCTTGGCAGGAACTTCTTGGAGGCCTTCATAAGGAAATGGCGAAACAGTGAGACCTAATATGTATGTATTGTGTTTATGCGGCAGGGGAGAAAAATAAATCCTAGGAAGATCCAGACCCCATTGATTCAGAAAGTCCTCCTTTATCTACATACTGTTACAACTGAAGAAATCAGATAAAGCAAAGGATGTGAAGACAAGGAGGGAGAAATGTCTTGATCCTTCAGCCCTAACCTTACAGGAAGCATCTGCTCTGAGAACAATGACCCACAGCCCCTGATAACAAAGTTAACATTCTCCTTTGAAAGAGGGAGAATGCTCCAGCCAATGGTATTTTCAATGAAACTGGACATCAACTGAGTCCAAAACAGCCCCTGAAAGTAGCACATTTTCTTTCTCTTTTTCAAAGATCCATTCTGCTCCCAGGATAGTGTTGTCCTACACAATCTTGAGCACTTTAGCCTTCCCAAAGGCATATGACCAACTTTCCTCCCAAAGGGAAAATCTAAGAATAAAGTTTAACCAAGCCACAATAACATGCACCCAGTGTTCATACTACTTGTTTATAGAAAAAAAGAAAGGAGACCGATAAAGGTGACTGCAGAAAAAACAATGCAGGAGAAATTCTAGAATAAGGGTACGCAAATGTCCAAGCAAAGACCAAATATCAGTCAAAATCATCCTTGTTATTCTGGACCTTTGCCCTGTAGGAAAACTGCCACACTACTAGAGCCAAAATGATCATTCTTAATGAATAAATAATGAATGTGGAGCTACCTTAAGTGTCATCTGCTCTGATTTAGTATTTCAACATTTTCTTTATCCATTATCATAAAACCAAAATTCATTCATTTTCATAATAAAACAGTTCAATAATAAAAGTAGAGATCCACCCCCACATAAGATGGAAATGACACTTCCGGCATCTTCTTTGACGTTATTACTACTTACAGTACTAACAAGCTATTGTTTATTGAGTGCCCAATAGGTATTAGATACTTACTATAACTTTGTAACAACCCTGGGAAGTACCTTATCCCCATTTTATAGATGAGGAAATTGAGGCTCAGAGCAGTTAAGTAACCTGCCCAAGATCACACAGCTAGTACTAAGACTCAATCTCACATCTTAAGCACTAACTACATTTCCTCTCCAGGGAAACAAGGCCTCCCAATTCCCTGACATCATACCTATGAAAGACAACGTGGTCTGGCCCCTGCACACATCACCTCTTCCTGACTCCTATCCCAAACTAACCCACCCAGTCGGTCAACTTCCCAGTGCAGAAAGAACCTTGGATGTAGATAAACTTTGATTTTATCTCATTTCATGAGGAGGTTAATTTCTCTGTGCTGGTAAAGGATAAACATTTATATAACAGAGTACTGTGGAACCCCATCTAGCTTTCATTTTGTGCCCTTAAATGATGTTTTTAAAAGATAACTCTTAACATAATATGAATTTATGCCTCAATTTCTGGCCTCTGACTAAACATCTAAACATGATTAAGTGTTTATAGTTGGGGTGGTGGGATTGCAGGTGATTTTTGGTTTATTTCCTTTACTTCCAGTGTTTATCAGGTTGTAAGTACTGAGTATAGATTATTCTTTCAATTGGGAAAAAAAATACTCATTTTAATGAAAGAAAAATCTGCATATTTAACTGTTTACCCCCCCAAAATTATTTTTCCCTTAGTATTGAAAAAGGAGACATTCATTGACCCAATTTAATCCTGGGCCTAGTTAGAACCCAAACTTCAAACAGGAGATGTGGATTCTTTTACAAATGACTCCCACTGTTACATTATTTGTCTTTTTTTCTGCTACTTAAAAAAACTAAAAAATATTCCATAAAACTAGGTTTTTTAACTATGACTCATCTTTCCCTTCCCATAGGCCTACTTAGTAAAATCCTCTGTACTCAATAAAGAAATACAGTTATGCACAGCTTGTGTAAACCATACATAACTATGGTTTGTGTCAGACTGTTCATTACGGCCCACACGCCCAGCCTCCTGTGCAGCTAACCGTGGCCATCAGAAGAAGAGTGATATGACCACATCAGGCCTGCACTGTAAGAGAAACTCCATGCTCTTCAGCAGCAGACTTGGAATCCATGTATTAATGACGATGGAGCCACGAAGTGGAAGGAACCTGGGTCTCGGAATCTCCACCCAGAAGAGCATCCCAGAAACACCATTTCGGACTCACATGAGTAAGGATTCAAAGTGTATTATGAAATGGGAAGTAAGTGGGTTCTGCTTGCTTGTTCGAAGTTCTTTCAAAGTAACTTAAGTTGTTGATGCTTACAGTGTGAAGATTTTTTTTTAAGTTAAAGAAACAAGTTTTTTTGGTTCTAAGGTGCCGTCTCTTAAAAATGGGAGAAAAAAATGAACTAGAAAAAAATGAAGAGTGCAATTATTCAAGATGTTACTGTTTACCAACTTTCTCTTATAAGAATTGTGAGGCGGATGAATAAAGCCTTTCTCACACGAAAAAAAAAAAGTGTATCATGTAAGCTACCGAAAATGTGGGGCTTCTCCATTAAGTCACCTAGCACACAGCTTTATCAACACACTCCAGTTACTTCTGCAGGAGGGTAAGACTCTGTTATTCACCTTACCTTTTTCAAAGACTCCTTCTGCTTCCAGCACAGAGACGGTGAGGTTGGCTGCCATCTTGACCAGCTCTGCCTTCACAGTGACCTGTGCGGGGCTGTGTTCCAGAAGCTCCACCCCAACAGTCACATTTCCTCCAGGCCTGATGATCCCTGGAGCTGTCACCAGAAACCTGGGCCTAAAGGAGGGGAAAACAAAGTTTCTTAGCCTCACATCTTCATCTTTTGAGATCCTCAAATTTTGTAAATATTGAGACAGCCTCCTTGCATGGTGCCAACTGCAATTGTTCCAATTAGTATTGCCCCACTGCTCCACTTAACAACGGCACTGACATGCTATTATAACAATAGCAGCCATAAATCAATTTTTATCCAGCTTTATTGAGATGTAACTGACACACAGCACCATGTAAGTTTAAAGTGTATAGATACGGATTTGACTTACACAGCATCGTGATTATGACTTTAGTGAACATCCATCATCTCATTTAGACACAAAATTAAAGAAATGGAAAAAATATAATTTTTCCTCATGATCAGAACTCCAAGGATTTACTCTCTTAATAACGTTCATATATAACACACAGCAGTGTTAATTACATTTATCATGCTGTAATTTCTCATAAATCAATTTTAACACAGTAATTCATGCACCACTAGCGGATGGCCTATGTTATAATTTCCATTTTATAAACCACAAACAGCACAGTATAGCTTACACTGGGACATGCAGAAGTTACTGGCAAAGTACAAGCCTCTAAACTTCTCCTTTACAGAGGATCTCATCCCAGCGTGACTTTTTTTTTTTTGGCTTACACACACACACACACACACACACACACACACACACACACACACACACACACACACACACACACACACACACACACACACACACACACACACACACACACACACACACACACACACACACACGAATTTTGCCTGTTTCTTATTCAAATCTTAATGCTTCGGCATCTACCCAAGAAAACATCACCTAACTGACACCACTGATTAAAGTATACCAACTGAAATTCAACTATCCTTGGTGACTTTTCCAGATGCAGAGCATAAAAATCGCTAAAACAGCACTTTCTCTGCTCGAGCTTGGGGTTAGGGCTCAAAGGCAAAAACCTTTGCGGGGAGGGGGTTGGGGGATGGGGGTGCAGGGTGGCAAGGGCTTTCTATTACTTGGGTGTCTCACAAGGTATCTCCCTACAAAGTCTGCACTTGAACCCGTGCTTCAGTCACCTCAGCCACACCTTGTCAGTGCCAAAGTTGGGATATCTCGTTTAGGGAAGGAAAAAAAGTCTTTGAAAGAAAAACGCGTTATTATTTGGGAGCAAAAAATTGAGAAAATCACAGGGGCAATGTGGACTAAAAGTAAAACAACTGTCTTTAGAAAACAGTTACGGCCAGAGACGCTTCAGCAACCTCGTGGGTGGACAAAGTAACTGTCCCATGGAGAACCAGCTCAGAGGACAAATACGATCAAACCTCCAAGCCAGGGTCTGGCTGAGGCTCGCCTCCACCCCACCCCACCCTGCCCCGCGCGCCCCCTGCGCTCCTACCCGGAGGTGGCGGCCAGCACCGAGCTCCATAAGCAGAAGAGGTGGGCGGTGGTCATGAGCCGAGGGCCCAGCATCTTGGTGGCCTGTGCCCGGCACCCCGGGCTCTGAAGAAAACTCGCAGGCACCGGGGGTGTGGCGACCCACCTCCTCCCAGATTTCTCCCCGACTCTGGAGTTTAGCAAACGGCACTGGGCGCGCCCGGGCGCCCAGCAGAGAGAAGGATCTAATTTGAGCCGGGACTCGGTGGCTCCACCCCTCCCAGCTGCATCACAATGGCGCTCCTCGCCTCCCCGGCAAACATCACAAACCCTGGGCCGGCGGGGTGCGGTCAGCCCAACCTGGCCCCCGCACCCCCGCTCCCCGCGGAGAACGCAGGGCGCCCCGGCCCACCAGGCTCCTGGGGCTGTTTACACTAGCGCTCCACCAACGGTTCCCCGGTGTGCGTAAACAGGCCCATCCTTGTGTGGAGAAATCATAGCAGCTATGTGAGGTGGGAAAAAATCAGTCATTGTCCTGCAAACTGAGTCAGAATTTTAGAGAAAAGGCACGTACACACGTACACACACACACACACACACACACACACACACACA